CCGTCACCAGGACCCGGGTCTCCCCAGCCACAGGCCAGGGTGAGTCACCTGCCCGCAGACCTCATTCAGTTGGCGTTTGCTGAGCACCTGTGAGCTTCCAGGCACTGTGCCCAGCGCTGGGCCAGAGGGAGATGGAGGACGGCCCCATACTGAGCTTCAAGCCCCCACCCTCCCCCGGGGCGAGACAGCACTCACATGGGTGATGATGGTGCAGAGCTAATGTGGAAGGATGGGTCACCAGTGCTGGTCAGGAGGCTAATTTCTGGGGGCCCGTGCTACCCCTCGAAACCACAGCTTCACTGAAACCCTTGCCTTTATTAAAAGGTCCATCTTGTCCAACATGGATGACTCCTCAGACTCCATCGCCCTTTCTTGGCCAAATATCACCTCTTCCCTGCCTCCCCCAGGGCCCCCCCCCCCCATACATATATACACAGACATACTCACAGTCACTGCTGCCCAGAAGAGGGCGACCTCGTGGGAAGGCCCTGGAAGAGGGCCAAGCAGCAGGAAACAGTCTCTGAGCCACTTCCTTTCTTTCCCACCCCTCCTGGGCCGCTGCCCACCACCCCATCCATGGACCCCTCCTTTCATCCCCCCTCTTGGCTTGGCATCCAAGGCCTAGAGAATATCTGTCCCCAACCATTATCACGCTCCAGGTGCAAGCCCGGTTTTGTGCACAGGAGATGCTGGGACTTATCGCCTGACAAACTACAGCGTGCCCTTACCACCTGCGCGCCCCCCCCCCGCCCCCCATGAAATCAGCAATCTTTGGCATGCATTTGTTACGCAGCATGCCACCAGGAGGGCATCAGCTGTCACTGTGAGCAAACAAGAAAAAGAAAAGCAGGCGGCTTCTCGGGGCTCTGGTGCCCCAGGCCACAGTGACATGCCTGGCGGCATGGGGTCCGACCACGCACTGGCTCAGGAATGTCACATGAGTCAGTGGAGGTGGGTGGTGGTTATTATTTGGGCTGATCAAAATAATCTCTTTTTTTTTTTCTTCACAGCAAAAGCAATCCACATCAGTCGGAGGAAAATTAGGAGCTAGAAATATTTAGATACAACCAATAGCAAAGGTGTGCCTGCTGCCTGACCCCTGGGAACGGCGGGGAGGCCGTGGGAGGGTGCATAGGCCATGCACCTTTCTTCTTTCTTGCACAGAATGAGCTCAGGCTGTACGTATGGCTCAGAACCTGCCTTATTTATTTATTTTTAATCCTCATCCAAGGATATGCCCCCATCCCCGCATTGATTCTAGAGACAGAAGAAGGGAGAAGGAGAAAGAGAGAAACATGGATGTAAGAGAAAAGCATTAATTGGTTGCCTCAGGCATGTGCCCTGACCAGGAACCTAACCCACAACCCTTCAGTGCATGGGATGACGTTCTAACCACTGAACAACCCTGGCCAAGGTGCCTTTTTTATTGGACGGTATGTTGGGAGCGAAAATATCTAATGCTTATTGAGACTTACTCTGTGCCAGGCACTGTACTGAGCACTTTGCATGCAGGAGCTCATGTAGTCAACCGTCTGAGGTTGATTATTTACTGTCCCCATTTACAGATGAGAAAACCAAAGGCCGAGTGCTCGCTTGATCCTAAGAGGCGGTAAGAGACAGGCAGCGCTCTGGCCCGGAATGCAGGAGGCTGGGCTCCAGCTCTTCTCCCCCATCCAGGGACCCAGTCTTCCCTGTCTGTGAAATGGGAGGGTGGGGGGCTGGGCCAGAAGGACCTTTTCCATAGAAGGGGCTACAGACCTCTCCCCCACTCACAGAGGCTGCCTCCTCCGAGGCCTCACTTCACCCCCATTCTCAGGCTGACTGTTATAACCAAGGCACAGCCAGGCTGTTCTAAGCACTTCATTTAACCCTCCCCAAACCCTGACAAGGTAGGGTTATTTCTATTCCTCTTTACAAGTCAGGAAACTGAGGCACCGAGAGCTAAAATAACTTACCCGATGTCACTTTAGCAGTAAGGGGCAGAGTCAAGACTCAAGCCCAGACCTGCCCCGTCCCACAGCCTGTGCTATGACCAGCAGCTTTCCAATGCTTCCCTACCCGCAGCAAGAACTGCACCCCACGCAGCAAGCACACATCCTATATAATAAAACCCTAATATGCAAATCGATCGAACAGCGGAACGACTGGTCGCTATGGCGCTCACTGACCACCAGGGGGCAGATGCTCAATGCAGGAGCTGCCCCCTAGTGGTCAGTGTGCTCCCAAGGGGCCTCACCGCTCAGCCAGAAGCCAGGCTCATGGCTGATGAGTGCAGTGGCGGTAAGGAGCGAGGGGTTGAGGGGTTGAGGGGTCCTGGACTGTGAGAGGGACATCCCCCAAGGGGTCCCGACTGTGAGAGGGCACAGGCCAGGCTGAGGGACACCCCCCCCCACCCAAGTGCATGAAATTTCGTGCACTAGGCCTCCAGTATATCAATAATTAACTGGAATAAAGACTGTCATGAGCTAAAAACATACCTGCACTACATGGGAAGCTCTGTAATATAGCTTCTTCTAGTCCATTGTGTAAAGATGCCTGCTTTCAAGCCTCTGAATGGATCGGGACCTGCAGTTTGAAAATCATTGCTCATGCTGTTCCCTCTCTGCCCCAGGGAAACCCTTCTAAACGGACTCAAAGTCTTTCTCGTTTGAGCTTAGGAAGTAGCCAGCACAGAGGGGAGGGAACTGAGGACCAGCGAGGGACAGGCCAGGTCCCGCTGGGTCAGGTCAAGGTCTAGAGACAGGCTGAGGGCAGACCCTGCCCGGCTGGCCTTCCCCGGAGGGTATTCCAGCCTCCCAGCGCCTCCATCGAGCACCTGCTCTTTGCAGGGTGTCGGGTACCTTACAGCACAAGGTTTAGGCCGGTTAATCCCCGCAGCAGCCCAGGCAGTGGGGAGGGGGCGCCCCTGTTACAGCGGAGGCAGCCGGACTCGGAGACCCGTGACGTGGCCAAGGCCACATGGCCTGTAACACGCAGGTCTGGTTTGGGTCCCTGCTGTGTTCGCAGAACCAAGCTCGGGGTCTGAAACGCAACAGGTGCTCAGTGAACACGTCTGTCTGGCTGACCCAGAGCCCTCCCCTCCGCCCTGGCTCTGGGATTCCTCAGGAGCCCCCGTGCAGGGCAGCACGGTCCGGGTTGGGAAAGGCTCCAGGGCAGTTCCGGGCTTGCTGGGGCTCTGCCCCAGGCCAGGGTCCCCGGGGGGTGAGTACTCCCTGCTGAGTTTCGGTTCCAGGTCCCTGCACGCTCACCAGGCCCTGCCCTGTCAGCTGAGAGCGAGGGAGGGAGGGA